TCCTAGTGTGTACAGACTTACCATATTTTTGAGCACACTGTTGGTTACAATGTTTACCTCTTTTTTCTAATACATATTTTTTTAACATTTTCTTTATTTTTGTAAAAAACTATAATAGGATTACATAATACGTTGCTAAGTATTATTCTCTTTAATTTACAGGTTTATTATTTTTATTAAGTTTAAATGATTTTCCCCCTTTCTGACTCATTTTAAAATTATTTATTTCTAATTTAGTAAACATTATGTAATATTATAATACATAATTATACATTTTATTGCAGCACATGTTTTTGCTATCTTTAAATTAAATTAAATATCGAAATTAAATAGTGTGATATCATACACATGCATTATACAGTTGTGGTCAAACGTTTGCATACACCTTTGCAATCTACAAAATGTTAATTATTTTACCACAAGAGGGATCCAAATTCATTTTATCCCTCTTATTTTGATAGCACAACTATACAAATTAATAAATTAAAATAAATGTTACAGTATGTCCCTCCTATTTCAGAAAAACAATTCAGATTGGCAGATTACGGAATATGTAAACTGTATATATCAGCCACCCTGCTCTCTAAATATCAACAATCACATATCAAACCTCTAAAATATCAACATCAACAATTACATATTTTAATGGAAACTTACTGTGGACCATCTTGAATAAGTGAAGGCACATACTTATTGAACAGCAACCACTGCAGATCCTTCCTAAAACTTCATGGAGAAATGTTGAGAAATGATAAAGACTGATCAAGGCTGTACAAAAAAGTCTTCAGAGTACAAAATTGCGGTTTGTACTCACCTGCTTTCTCTCTGTCCTAGAATAATTCTGGCCTCTTCATGGTCCCCTTCTACAGGGGCCCTTCCCTCTGCTAAAGCCTGGTAAAGCTTCTTCTTGCTGGGCACTGAGCGAGCCAGTGATGGAGGTGCTGCCACATTCTCCACAGACATGCTGCTCCAACACACTTTCACACTAAGTAGAAAGTAAATGAGAGAAGTAAATGAAAACAACAGACAAAATGTAAGAGTATTGTGATTTACATGGCATGGTGTCACAGACGTGTATATATATATATATACGTTAGAATGTAGTGTCCAATATAACGACACCAAAACAATGCTGCAATTAATGCACGTACTAATTATATAAGCGTTCGCAAAGTTACATGAATCAGCGTCCAAGAAGTGAAGTTATTTCACTATCTACTAGTAATTGGCTGTGAAGTGCAACTGAAGTCTGGGTACTGTTCTCTATTTAGGGAATACCAAATAAGGTCATATGGTCGTGAGAGGAAAAACACAATCAAAATACAAAAATACCAAAGAAAATTATATTTTATAAATGTGGCGTTGACGATATATTTGTATTAAACCAATCAGGAGGCATGATATCGTTTGTTCAAAATTAGAAGCTGCAATTTATATATTTCCTATTCAACGACGTGACAGCCGGACAGAAAACAGCGTAACACGACCAGCGGACCAATCAGTTCATAGAACAGCCCGCTCTGGCCTCTGGCTCTTCTCCAAAATAGCCAATGAGAAAGAGCTTTGGTAGGAGGGTGTGCTCGACAGACAACCAATCGGCAGGCTCTCCGGGAGATTAGCTGTCCAATAGAATTCTTATATATAGGCGGGTTTTCAGGCGGAAGTTGCACGTTTTTTTGTGTTCTGTAGTTTGCTTCTTATTCAAGTGTGTGGTTGGCAGGAGCTCGTTTAATAATTGTGAGTGTGTCTAATTGTCTTCTTTTTTTTTAATTAATTCCGTTCATCTAATTTTATCAAAATATGGGTTTTTCTTGATTAGTGAAATTGTAATAATTCGCGATTAAATGAATTGACAAGCTAAGGCGCTAACGTTAGCTTCCGTTTACAGCAACGAGGTAGTTCAGTCATTCACGGGTTTATAGCGCAATTTAATGTACAAATAAATTTATTTCGTTATTAATGATTTTTACCCAAATAGATTATTTCTAACATGTGATCAAAAAGAGTTGGGGAAGTTTAGAAAATGCTTAAGCTTTATTTCATTCTGCGCGATCCAGTGAGTTGGGGTTGGCCTTTCGTTCCCTGCAGAGGGTTTAATATACGTGTTTTTCATTCCAGAATCATGGCGAGCCAGGAGATGCGGTTAAATCACACGATTTACATCAACAACTTAAATGAAAAGATCAAAAAAGATGGTATGGTTCTGTCTGTCTATTTGATTTATTTTTTAATAAAACGATTTAGTAAATTGTTCATGTTGCGAACCTTTCCTCTTCTTTTGATAGAACTGAAGAAGTCGTTGTATGCTATATTCTCCCAGTTTGGACAAATTCTGGACATCCTTGTTTCTCCTACACTGAAAATGAGGGGTCAGGCCTTTGTGATCTTCAAGGAGATCAACAGTGCTTCCAGTGCACTCCGCTCTATGCAAGGCTTCCCATTTTATGATAAACCTATGGTAAGATGCATGCATGCATGTATGTATGTATGTATGTATGTATGTATGTATCCTAAATGAATCGTGATTTGTTTAGCATATCAACAGATTTGATTCGTCACATATTTGAATCGATTTTCAACTGGCTCGCGGTTAATCGTTACATCCCTAATATACACACTTTTAAATTGATGTTTTAAAGCCAAGATGTTGTGATCTGAACTAAAATGCTCTTAAAATCTATTCACAGCGTATTCAGTATACAAAGCAGGACTCTGATATCATTGCAAAAATGAAGGGCACATATGTGGAGCGAGACCGTAAGAAAGAGAAGAGAAAGCCTAAAGCTCCTGAAGCAGGTGCTGGGAAAAAGGCTTCTGCTGCTATGGCCGGAGTACCTGCAGCTATGCCTGTTCGTATATTTGGAATCTATATTTGGGAATATGTGTGCTGTTGACTCCATTGTGGTCTATTTTCAGGCTGTTATTGATTTATTGTTATTCTTTTATTTTTGTTTGTTTGGTCATTTACAGGGAATGCCACCCATGAGCCAAGCCCCTCGCATGATGCCAATGCCCGGTCAACCTCCCTACATGCCTCCGCCTGGTATGATGCCTCCACCTGGCATGGCACCCGGGCAGATGCCTCCAGGTGCTATGCCTCCAGGTCAGATGATGCCAGGACAAATGCCTGGCCAGATGCCGCAGCAGGTTTGTAATAAAACTGGGATGTACCTTTTACTATTAATGATGTATAGAAAATTAAGTTTAATTGGTTATCAATTAATCAAATTTAATATTGATAAAGTTGTGTGAATATAAACTTAAATTTCACATAAGGCAGTTTTTATATCAACTTCTTAATAATGTATGAATTGATTGAAACATTTAAACTTGCAGTAATTTGCTGTCATAACTTGTTTTCATGTTTATGTCTCAATTTAACTAGTAGTAAATCGGAGAAACTGAATGATTCACTCGCGCTTCATGCTGCCACTAGGCAGATATAGCTATATATTTTATTTTATAATCTTATATATATTTTTTATATTACAGTACATTAGAGCATCAATGCTTATTGCAATTATTGGATGGTAGGTGTGCTATAAGTAATATTTAGCAGGGCTCTGAACCGGTTCAAGGAACGAAAACCGGAAACAAACTAAATTAAATGTTATAATTCCATGCAGAATCGAAAATTTGAAATGGCCATTATCTGGTTAATAACGTTATTTTATCGTTCTATTTAATATTTGAAATTTGCTGTCAACCAATCACGAATTCAAGTAGTACGGCCTATGCAAATGTGATGCTGTGGCATCCAACGAGTGAAATGCCCGTGCTCAGCTGTGAACTCATCATAGGTAAATCGCAATGCATTAGAGTTTATCCGAGGATGGTGTAAGATCAGATTCAACCGATCACACGCACCTGCAGCGCTTCTGTGAATGGAGAAAACAGAATAAAACTATAGTAGGGCTGTGAATCTTTGGGTAGACAGCGATTCGATTCATGATTCATAGGTTTTTGATTTGATTCAAGAACGATTTTTGCAAATTCGGAACAATTCGATTTGATTCACAATTAAATTCGATTAAATTCGATTAATGTTTCGATTCTGCATTCTTTAAGTGCATTCACAGGATTATTTAAATGCTTCCCCTAAGTTCTTTAAAGTCCCCATGAAATCAAAATTAAATAAAAAAATTTTTTTTTTTTTTTGGGTGTTAGTATCAATATGTTAGTCTTAAGGTTATCTATAAAGCAGTGTGCTCCAAAAGCATTTAGAAGATACAAGCATTCAAAGCTTGCAGTTCGTCACTTCCGCCAAAACCTCAACGATTTTTTTTTGACGTCACATCGTACTTCAGCTTCTCATCAAACTTTCTGTCCAATCAAATGCTCTCTAGAATCCGAAGCGCCCGCCCCCTACACTATAAAATAGACGCTGAAGCCGCGGCTGAAATCGGTCACTTGTCCACAGAATTAGTATTTTCTGTACAGTGAATGGCACGTAGTGCACTATATAGGGGACAGGGAACGATTCAAACAGCGTAAATATGCTTTCCATTGAGGAAAAAAAGAAGTCTGGTTTCGCGCTGTCACGCTAACCACCGCACACACACTCTGCTCCGGTCCAGAGACATGATAGCATGTACATATATATATAAATACATTCAGTATATATGTTATTTCATTTCCATTTTGTATGTTGAAGTACTGAAATAACTCAAATTAAATAAAACTAAAACTTAATAAAAAAAACCTACTATATATAGACATAATAAAAAAAACTAATAAAATGACAACATTACTACAACTGTGACTAAAACTAAAATAGATAACTAATACAAATCAAACTACATTAGTTTATCAGTAATCCTAAAAAAAATAACACTGAGCCAAACACACATGCTAAAATAACAACAACTTACTGACACATAGTAAGAAATAGTTATAAAAAACTGAAACAGAAGTGAAACAAGTAGTAGGAAAGAGGAGAAATAAAAAGCGAATTCTACACAATGCTATATTTTATAGCAATATGGATGAGATTGTGGTTGGCATACCCTGTCAAATGCGGCTTTACGGAGCTCAACGGCTCTGAACGGCTCTAGCCCAAGCTGTGATATAAACGAACGCTATTGGCGATTTTAAAAAGGGGCGGGGCTGCTTGATATGTCCCGCCCTGTCTTCCTGTTTCAGTTAAAATGACGTCAGAGTACACAGAGTAATGCTGCGTGTTTCTAAGCATTTCAGGGGACCTTTAAGTGAACTTGAACAGTTGAGAGAAATGCAAATGTGTCAAAATATTTGATCTATGCGTCAGATCTTAAAGCAACAGCGTAAACCTGCGGCCGCCGACTGCGTCATAAATGTTCATCAAACAACAGAAAAGGAGAAAATCACTCACTGCTCTTGACTGAATCACTTATTAACTTTAAT